ATTGATTACAAATTATTTTTGCTCTATCATATAGACTTTTTACGATACCTTTTTTAACCATTATCGGGTGATTTGAGTCGAAATTCAAATATCGGTGAATATGAGTAGGTTTTCTATAGACCAAGGCTTCGAAATTGTCTAAATTTTTCTGAATTAGTATATCGAGAAAAGGATTTTGGTGATTTTGTTCTTTTTCAATAGTGAATTTAATTGTTGGTTCTTTAGTATTCAGATAAGATAAAAATTAATCAAGATTTTGTTCGCCATGACTGTAAATGGAGAATACGTCATCAATATAAAGCCACCAAATTATTGGTTTCAATTTTTAATTATTAATGAAAGTTGATTCAAAATTTTCCATAAATAAATTACTGAAAAATGGGGATAGTGGTGACCCCATAGCCATTCCAAAATTTTGTTGCTAAAAATTGTCAGTGTATTGAAAGTAAGTTGACTTTACACATATTATTCAAAGTTCAATAATAGTGTTAATGCTTAGTTGTGTGCGTTCTTTAAGATTGGTGTTATTTTGTAATTTTTGTTTGATGATATTTAAAGTTTTATCAACAGGAACGATATCGACAAATATATTTGGCTAAGGGATGTGTAGGTGAATTTATACTACTAACTATTGGTCGTAAAGGAATATTCACTTTATGAATTTTTGGAACTTGTAAAAATGTGGTGTTTTACTATTGTGTGGTGTTAATTTTGATCTAACGTAATCTGTGAATTTATGTTTACATTTTTTTAAAGTGTTATAAATTTGTCTTTCAAAACCTTCTGTTGGATTTTTGTTTAATTTTGAATAACTTTTGTCATTTAAAAGTTCATTAATTTTTGGATCATAGATATTATAATCCATGATGACGGTCGCATTACCTTTATCAGCAGGCATAATTTTGATTGTTTTATCTTTTTTTAAGGACATTAATGCGTTTTGATCTATTGAGCTTGTGTTTTGTTTAATTTTGAAAGGTTTTTCTAGAATTATTTTTGATCTTATACGAAATTCTTCCTGTTGTTCTTCAGGCAAATTTTGAGTTGTTTCTTCTATACTCGAAATAAAATCAAGTTTTGGAACGGTTTTTGGTGTAATTGAAAAATTTAAACCTTTAGAAAGAACGAG